CCTTCCTCGTGGTAACACTGATAACTGTAACGACTACCCCTAACAACTATAACAATTACCCGTAACAACTATAACAATTACCCGTAACAACTATAACAATTACCCGTAACAACTATAACAATTACCCCCTAACAACTATAATAATTACCCCCTAACAACTATAACAATTACCCCCTAACAACTATAACAATTACCCCCTAACAACTATAACAATTACCCCCTAACAACTATAACAATTACCCCCTAACAACTATAACAATTACCCCTAACAACTATAATAATTACCCCCTAATAACTATAACAATTACCTCTAACAACTATAACAATTACCCCCTAACAACTATAACAATTATCCCTAATAACTATAACGACTACCTTAATAACTATAACAATTACCCCTAACAACTCTAACAACTATCCCAATAACCTTAACGACTGCCCTAACAACCCTATTATCCCGAAACACACAATAACACATTACAATAACAAATGATGTCAAGACGAAGAATTCCTGACACTAACAACACGCAAGTAATCGAGTTTAATTAACCAAAACAAACAAGCGTTAAACCACTGAATGCTCGTTAACCGCGGAACTGAGGTAAAACAACTACTCACTCACTGCCAACAAACGATAATCGCCTCTATGACCCCGGAAAGCAAGGCTCAAGTGTCGTCCTAAGGAGGCGATTTCATGTTCGGTCAGTGAGTCTGCTAAACGTGTATTTTTGTTAAGACTATGCCGCGAAATTCCTGAGAGCTGAATGTGGAAGCGGGGAGTGGGGGGATGGAGAGGGGGGGTATTGTTGGGGGTGGAAAGGGAGAGAGGGGATGGGAGGGGTGGAAGGGAAGGGGGGGGGTAAGGTAGGGAAGGGATGGAGAGGTATTATAGGCGTTTCACGAGATGAAATGGAAATCGTGAGAATCAGTGAATAAGTCTTCATTGTACGAGATTCACAGTCTGTAATATTTTCATTAAATTCAAACCTATTGAGTATCACCATACACATGGAACATCATGTTTCATCAACGTCAACATGAAAGCTTGGCCCGTGACGTCACACAACGTCAACATGTTACGCTTGGCCCGTGACGTCACGGGCCAAGCGTAACATGAAGATCATTATTAACGTAAACACGAAGACTTTGACCGTGACGTAGCATATTGCGTGACGTGTGGAGACGGTGATCATTTGGAAGCCTTGACCATAACAGCACATTATAATACACCAACACACTCTCATTGACCTCTTACGGGCTATTCATGCCCGTGCCACCTCTTGGGTGGCTTAATCTTTATCTTTATCATCTCATTGACCGCATATGTAAACAAAAGGAAACTCGGGATGCATCTTTACGCGAATTTGCTAATCTCATAATCCGCAGGATATAAGTGTTAACACAATGGTTGATAACAGGTTACGGGCTATTCATGCCCGTGCCACCTCTTGGGTGGCTTAATCTTTATCAATCTTTGATAACAGGATCGAAGACATCTCCCGTCACGCAGGGTGCAGTCGCACCTCCACAGATCTCCAGTATCAGCTCTTGATACTGGTAATGGCTCAAAAGGGCCACCACTTACGGGCTATTCATGCCCGTGCCACCTTTTGGGGGTGGCTTAATCTTCATCAATCAATCGGTTGATAACATATAATTATATGTGCTCTTGGGAAGATGATGGGAGAATTGCCAATCAGACGTTGTTTTAGATTCAGTTATTCAGAACAAAACGTTCAAAGTAGCACGGGTTATGGTGAGCCCATAATCGCCACTCAGACGCAGGTGAAAATCCAATTTGATACGAGCTTCAAGCCACCTTTCGAAGACATCTAACGGATGGCCAGCTCTGTCCGTGTCTAGGCAGCTGTACTTGAGAACTGAATCCGTCACTAGAGAACTGAATCCGTCACTAGGAACCTGTATCCGTCACTAGAGAACTGAATCCGTCACTAGGAAGTTGTATCCGTCACTAGAGAACTGAATCCGTCACTAGGAACCTGTATCCGTCACTAGAGAACTGAATCCGTCACTAGGAACCTGTATCCGTCACTAGAGAACTGAATCCGTCACTAGGAACCTGTATCCGTCACTAGAGATCTGAATCCGTCACTTGGAACCTGTATCCGTCACTAGAGAACTGAATCCGTCACTAGGAACCTGAATCCGTCACTAGGAAGTTGTATCCGTCACTAGAGAACTGAATCCGTCACTAGGAACCTGAATCCGTCACTAGGAAGTTGTATCCGTCACTAGAGAACTGAATCCGTCACTAGGAACCTGTATCTGTCACTAGAGAACTGAATCCGTCACTAGGAACCTGTATCTGTCACTAGAGAACTGAATCCGTCACTAGGAACCTGTATCCGTCACTAGGAACCTGTATCCGTCACTAGGAACCTGTATCCGTCACTAGGAACCTGTATCCGTCACTAAGGATGGCTAGGCGTCAGACTCGCATCGTCGTAGGCTCATGATAATGCTATATTATCTTAATGTAAGATAAGTCTAAGTCAATCTGTCTTGTGAAATGTGACGAGATGTGTAGAATTAAATCTAAAATTACAAAGTAACAATCTAAAATTGATACAAAGTAACCTAAATACTAATCCAGAAATAGTCTCAAGAGTTGAGACTATTGGGCAACAAAAATTTACCAGAACAAAATGCGACATATGATACGCACTAAAAAGAAAATATATCTCCCTCCATAACTCTAAATATATACAATGACAAACGTCAGTATTTATTGGAAGCAAACCTTAACGTGGACGCAGCCTAGTACAGAATATTTCCATCAAAGTGTTAATTCTATTATAACTATATCAAGGAATTAATTTGATTAAAGCCTATGATAAGAAAAGCGCACGGAACAGTTAGTACATACTCTCTAAATCGGTGAAAACTTGCACTTGGTGAAGGTAGAATATGGCCACCATGTCCCCACCTGCTTGTGTCTGGGGCCAGATTCACGAAAGCACTTACGCAAGCACTTACGAACCTGTACATCTTTTCTCAATCTTTGTCGGCTTTGTTTCCAATTATTAAACAGTTAATGAGCTCCGAAGCACCAGGAGGCTGTTTATAACAATAACAACAGTTGAATGGGAAGTTTTCATGCTTGCAAACTGTTTAATAAATGTAACAAAAGCCGTCAAAGATTGAGGAAAGATGTACACGTTCGTAAGTGCTTGCGTAAGTGCTTTCGTGAATCTGGCCCCTGGAGTATAACCATGGCCTCCCTCCCCCGGGGCTTGTAAACACCCAGCTGGTTCACACATATCCCGTCAAAATGAGTACTTAACATGCTCTTGCCGAGACCTGTCTCAAGGAGAAAATCAAAACAAGAAGGAATTGCACGCTCTCCCATATCCGGCCTTCAAAAATACCTCAGACCCCCCTTAATTAATTGCCATTTTTTGTTGTTAGTGTCTTTGGCGCGCATGTGAATCTAGTTGTGGGACTTTGCGGTTCTTAGTAGGGATTTGTGTGGCAAGAGAGTGTGATAGTTGCAACAACTCCAATTATTCGCGCGGACGGAAACAGTAAGAATATGGAACAAGTTTTTTTTAGTGTTGCGTGCACTCACCCACTGTCTGTCTGTCTGTCTGTCTGTCTGTCTGTCTGTCTGTCTGTCTGTCTGTCTGTCTGTCTGTCTGTCTGTCTGTCTGTCTGTCTGTCTGTCTGTCTGTCTGTCTGTCTGTCTGTCTCTCCAGCAGCGAGGTGCTGTTATTACTGCTGTTACTACTGGCACCTTACGTAACCAGGCCACGCGGCTGGCACCGGACCGTGGGGTGCCACAGTCATGCCATCAGCCAACCGTGGCCACTCGGCAAGGACAGACAGGCGCTCCACACGAGACGAGTGTAAGATGCCTGGTGAGGTATATATATACCCTGCAAACACATTTGGGCAAACACACTCTATACACACACGCGCGCACACACACACACACACACACACACACACACACACACACACACACACACACACACACACACACACACACACACACACACACACACACACACACCTATTCTGATAGAACCCAATAGGCTCAGGAATCTGTACACCTGTTGATTGACGGTTGAGAGGCGAGTCCAAAGAGCCAGAGCTCAACCCCCGCAAGCACAACTAGGTGAGTACAACTAGGTGAGTACACACACACACACACTGGAAGACAGAAGAGTAAGGGGGGACATGATCACAACCTACAAAATCCTCACGGGAATCGACCGGATAAACAAGGATGAACTATTCAACACTGGAGGGACGCGAACAACGGGACACAGGTGGAAACTGAGTACCCAAATGAGCCAAAAAGACATAATTTTTTTTAGTGTTAGAGTAGTTAATAAATGGAATGCATTAGGAAGTGATGTGGTGGAGGTTGACTTCATACACAGTTTTAAGTGTAGATATGATAAGAGCCCAGTAGGCTCAGGAACCTGTACACCTGTTGATTGACAGCTAAGAGGCGGGACCAGAGAGCTGAAGCTCAACTCCCCGTACACACACACATCTCTCTCTGTGTTCATGTGTCTCTTCTCTTGACATGTTTGCCAGTAAATAAGAGCATGTGTGAAGACCTGCAGCATCACGGGGGCTCACCATAGCCCGTGCTACTTAGACATTTCGTTCTGAGTAGCTAAATCTAAAACAACAACAACAACAAGACCTACAGCAAGCCTGTTGGCGCCACTGTCTCTGGGCTCGATTTTGGCTTATGTGATTTGTCCAGATTTATGTCGATATATTTATGTAGTTTGTGTTATGTAGTATGTATCTGATTGTCTCTCTCTCGTGCGCGCGCTCCTCTACTTCCCACTCCCTCCAATAATACAAAATATCGAGTTACAGCCCCGCTCCTGTGCCAGGTAAGTCCAATACGGGCTCACCATAGCCCGTGCTAAAGTGAACACGAATCTAGAACAAAATATGTGACTAAGGTGAGATCACCCTGCTAACCCCACCTTCCTCTCTCTCTCTCTCACCAACAGAAACGTACCCGGGTGCGGGAAAAAGGTTGAGCACAGGATGAGAGGCTGGTTCGACGCCTTCCGGACAGAGGGCGGCCCTACACTCTACGCTTACAGCAACCGCACGAGTGTCACCGGCGATGTCCCCACCATCACCATCTGCCTCCTCTTCCTCACCATCTTCATCGCCTTCGTCATCATCTTCCCTGGAGTCAGAAAAGAGGTCAGTTGACAGAGAGCTTGATATAGTATGTGGCGCGGGTTCGATTCCCGTACGAGGCAGAAGCAAATGGGCAAAGTTTCTTTAACCCTGAATGCCTCTGTTACCTAGCAGTAAATAGGTACCTGGGAGTTAGTCAGCTGTTACGGGCTGCTTCCTGGTGTGTGTGTGTGTGTGTGTGTGTGTGTGTGTGTGTGTGTGTGTGTGTGTGTGTGTGTGTGTGTGTGTGTGTGTGTGTGTGTGTGTGTGTGTGTGTGTGTATGTGTGTAATTACCTAAGTGTAGTTACAGGATGAGAGCTACGCTCGTGGTGTCCCGTCTTCCCACTACTCTTTGTCGTATAACGCTTGTGTGTGTGTGTGTGTGTGTGTGTGTGTGTGTGTGTGTGTGTGTGTGTGTGTGTGTGTGTGTGTGTGTGTGTGTGAGTGTGAAAAAGGAAGAAAGCAGTGTTTAAGGAGAAAGCCGTATTTAATATGATTTCTTTATTTCCCAGCTAATGTTTTCCAATAATGTTTGAGGCTTGTCTTAACACTGAGTGGCCTGGTGAGTGTGTCGGGGTGCTTGCTGGCTACACTACCACACCCACACTGTACACACACTACCACCTAACAGTGTTAACACTCTCTATATGTCTTGTCACAATGCAGTATATTTAGTATGCTTGCATATACAAAATGTCTTCATAGCCACATAATTAGCATACTCACAGGATTATTATACAACATAATATCCTTAAATCTAGGTCAACAGTATACCAACATACCGTATATCATTATCATACCCATATACCGATATAATGAGCATACCCACATGGACAGTATAACCACATACCCACGTAATGAGCATACCCATATGGACAGTATAACCACATTACCCACATGGGCAGTATAACCACATACCCACGTAATGAGAACTCACACACATCCAGAATGCCCACATACCAAGACATAGCCACAAAGTCGGCTTTATAATACCCAGACTGCCGACTTGGTGGGGTGTTATAATGACCGTATATGACTTATATGACACCTTCATATAAGGTCAGGAGGCCTTATATATATATATATCAGGAGGCCTGGTCGACGACCGGGCCGCGGGGACGCTAAGCCCCTGAAGCACCTCAAGGTAAGGTGCTTATATGACACCTTCTCTCCCTACGTTCCTTGCTCCCTCCCCTCCACCCATTCCTTCCGTCCCGCCGCACCCACTGGAAGCAGCTGTGTACTAAGAAGTGTTCTGTGTCTCCCCCCTACAGAAGTTCTCTACGCTCTGCACAGTGACGCTGAGCTTGCTGGTGGGCATCGTCATCTGCAGTAAGTATTGACCCACATTGTTTACCATCAGTTTTTTTTTGAGATATATACAAGAGTTGTTACATTCTTGTACAGCCACTAGTACACGTAGCGTTTCGGGCAAGTCCTTAATCCTATGGTCCCTGGAATACGATCCCCTGCCGCGAAGAATCGTTTTTTCATCCAAGTACACATTTTACTGTTGCGTTAAACAGAGGCTACAGTTAAGGAATTGCGCCTAGTAAATCCTCCCCGGCCAGGATACGAACCCATGACATAGCGCTCGCGGAACGCCAGGCGAGTGTCTTACCACTACACCACGGAGACTGTAAAGTCTCCGTGGTGTAGTGGTCTCACTCAGTCTCACTCTGAGTCTCACTCAGTTTGTGTGAGTGCGATCAGAGGATACCTGACCAACCAGGAGGATACCTGATCAACCAGGCTGTGGCTCATACGTCAGGCTGCGAGCAGCCGCGTCCAACAGCCTGGTTAATCAGTCCAGCAATCAGGAGGCCTGGTTGACGACCGGGCCACGGGGACGCTAAGCCCCGGAAGCACCTCAAGGTAACCTCAAGGAGTGTAGTCGTGGCGGGCTGCTTCACGTGGAGAGGCGCGGAGGCCGGTTAGATTCACGAAGAAGTTACGCAAACACTTACGAACCTGTACATCTTTTCTCAATCTTTGGCGGCTTTGTTTACAATTATTTAACAGTTAATGAGCTCCGAAGCACCAGGAGGCTCTTTATTACAATTTAACAGTTGATTGGCAAGTTTCCATACTTATAAATTGCTTAATAAATGTAACCAAAGCCGTCAAAGATTGAGGAAAGATGTACAGGTTCGTAAGTACTTGCGTAACTGCTTCGTGAATCTGGTCCCAGGGCTGCTCAAGCACCTTCAAGCTGGAAGAAAGCTTGCGCCTATAGTATCTGTTTTCTTTGCCTTTCTGGTTGAAACTCGTGGATTGGATTTTAACACTTACGCGTTTTATTGTTGTATATCCTCATTTACTAGACATAAATGATGAACAAATCCACAAGGGCTGTGACGAGGATTCGAACCTGCGTCCGGGAGCATCCCAGACACTGCCTTAATCGATGTAAATGATATTTGGGTAAGGCAAGAGTTCTTAGATAATGTAAATATTGTAGGAGGTAAATCTCATGGGGAAAAGTAACAGGCTAAGGAGAAGTTGGAGGAGAATACCGGAGTGGGAGAGGGGGTGGGATTCGAGGCTCCAGTACTACTCAGAGAACCTTTACAAAACTATAAAATATTCCAAAATGGCGCCGAGTGGAAAGGTAGATCTAGTACAGCAGGGAAGCTTAGACAAGACGCTGGCGTGCAGCCTTAAGTCCCGACAAGTGTTGCTTCTGTCAAGCTGGCTGCCACCCTCCGCCAGGCTGCCACCCTCCCTCCGCCAGGCTGCCACCTTCCGCCAGGCTGCCTGCTCTACGTGAGGACCTCCACGTCGCCTCTCCCAAGCCTTCTACACACTTTCTCCTGAAGTTTTCCCGTAGAAGCGAGACCCTTCCCTAGTCCCTGGCCCACACTGGCCATCGCATTCAGGTGAAGGATTTCTTCAATATAGGACCTGAATATCTCATTGGCGGGGCGAGTACGACGGGCTCACCATAGCCCGTGCTGCTTGGAACTTTGGGTTCCCAGTACCTGAATCTTAACATAACAAACGACATCCTTGGCGGCCATTAGCTCCTTCAGATCGTATCCAGTAGAAGCCGTGTTGGAAGATTCCCAACCGCCCTGATCACCTTGGTGCTAACGAGACAACCCGTCGTCTTAACAACGTCGCATTTTGACGTATATTCTCCCTTAGGCCAAGAATTGTCGCACTAGAAAATGTTAGCGCCTCGCGAGATTGACATACTGTCCCGTTTTCTGTTTTGGGGTCCTCTGGTTGTTTAGGATAAGGGCATTGTCGTACGATAGTTTCTTGACGTTGAGAAATCTTAGCAGGACGGGCTGAACGAGAACTGGTAATTTGATAATATTACCTCTATGTATATAGGAAGCTGCTACTGCGTCCGACCCCGTGTAGCACGGGCTATGGTGAGCCCGTAAACCCCCCCCCCCCCAACTATAGGCTCCGGTGTGCCTATCTGCCGAGGCCAGCCTATCAGCGCACACACACAGCCAGCGCGCGTGGGGAGGCCCACGGTGGTACGGGTCACCCTTCGCTGTTTCACTTTCATTTTCTTCCGGAAACGCTGGTGAAGGTTGTACTCCTGCCTGACGGCGGACACTGGTCCCGCGGCGGCTCCCAGACACTACGGGTCGCGTGGCGCAACCAAAACATTGCATCACCACCACGGAAATACTTAAGAAAAGGGTAGATTGTAATGATTCTATATATATATATATATATATATATATATATATATATATATATATATATATATATATATAAATATAATATATATATATATATACATGTGTGAGAGCTGTGTTGCTACTGATTTACAGTAGCCCAGGAAGGACTTATCCCGCACAGGACTCGTGATACGGCTTTAACTTGCAAAAAAAAGAAGGATAAAGGAAAAAAATAATGACTGCTTAGAGCTTAGTGTTGACCCACAGGCCACGCGTCAAGGTTGTGTGGGGGGGGGTGAAGGGGGAGGCAGAGTCCTGCAGCAGACGGAGGGAAGAGGCAAGGGGTAGTGGGCAGACGGAGGAAGGAGGCAAGGGGTAGTGTGCAGATGGAGGGAGGAGGCAAGGGGTAGTGGGCAGACGGAGGAGGCAAGGGGTAGTGGGCAGACGGAGGAAGGAGGCAAGGGGTAGTGTGCAGATGGAGGGAGGAGGCAAGGGGTAGTGGGCAGACGGAGGAGGCAAGGGGTAGTGGGCGCCCAACTTCCGCGAGTAAGTAGGTGAGAGTGGTGAGGAGGAGGAGGAGGCGCTGGACCTGTGTGTCAAGGTCCTCCACTCAGGAAGGAAGCAGCAGAGGTAGGGAGGACCCGTGGGGAGCCAGGGAGTGCACACCTCCAGCTGTGGGGGACCTGTACACACACACACACACCGCTCGCTCCCCCACACACCCTTACGCAACCTGTCCACCACGGAGAGTAGGACTAGAAACAATCATAAATGGCGTCTAATATCAGGTATCTTACGGGGGTCCCTGATACCCTTTAAGGCAGAGCCAAGCTGAGGTAATATAGCGGCCCGAGGGCTTCCGGGCTCCCGGCCCCAGGCACTGCGGCCCGGGGGCTTCCGGGCTCCCGACCCCAGGCACTGCGGCCCGAGGGCTTCCGGGTTCCCAACCTCAGGCACTGCGCCCCGAGGGCTTCCGGGCTCCCGGCCCCAGGCACCGCGGCCCGGGGGCTTCCGGGGCTCCCGACCCAGGCACTGTGGCTCGAGGGCTTCCGGGCTCCCGACCCCAGGCACTGCGGCCCGGAAGCCAAGACACTTGGAGTACCCCGCTCTCATCAGCACTATTATCCCCCCCATCTTCCGCCTGCACCTTCCTGCAGGGAATTAGTCTTGTCTCGGGGAGCGAGGCCTTGCCACCACCCACAAAAGGAGCTTGGTGTGTGGGAGAGGGAGGGAGGGAGCCACTTACAGCTGTGGTGTCAGAAACGTCCTTGCACTTGCCGCTCTTACACAACACTCCGGATATATTGGATCGAGAAATACTCTGTAGATGTTTGATAACGAGAACAGGCAGTGATGTTGAGAGTGTGGGTCATCCTTGGTGCAGTGATGTTGAGAGTGTGGGTCATCCTTGGTGCAGTGATGTTGAGAGTGTGGGTCATCCTTGGTGCAGTGATGTTGAGAGTGTGGGTCATCCTTGGTGCAGTGATGTTGAGAGTGTGGGTCATCCTTGGTGCAGTGATGTTGAGAGTGTGGGTCATCCTTGGTGCAGTGATGTTGAGAGTGTGGGTCATCCTTGGTGCAGTGATGTTGAGAGTGTGGGTCATCCTTGGTGCAGTGATGTTGAGAGTGTGGGTCATCCTTGGTGCAGTGATGTTGACAGTGTGGGTCATCCTTGGTGCAGTGATGTTGAGGGTGTGGGTCATCCTTGGTGCAGTGATGTTGAGGGTGTGGGTCATCCTTGGTGCAGTGATGTTGAGAGTGTGGGTCATCCTTGGTGCAGTGATGTTGAGAGTGTGGGTCATCCTTGGTGCAGTGATGTTGAGAGTGTGGGTCATCCTTGGTGCAGTGATGTTGAGAGTGTGGGTCATCCTTGGTGCAGTGATGTTGACAGTGTGGGTCATCCTTGGTGCAGTGATGTTGACAGTGTGGGTCATCCTTGGTGCAGTGATGTTGAGAGTGTGGGTCATCCTTGGTGCAGTGATGTTGAGAGTGTGGGTCATCCTTGGCGCAGTGATGTTGAGAGTGTGGGTCATCCTTGGTGCAGTGATGTTGAGAGTGTGGGTCATCCTTGGTGCAGTGATGTTGAGAGTGTGGGTCATCCTTGGTGCAGTGATGTTGACAGTGTGGGTCATCCTTGGTGCAGTGATGTTGAGAGTGTGGGTCATCCTTGGTGCAGTGATGTTGACAGTGTGGGTCATCCTTGGTGCAGTGATGTTGAGAGTGAGAGTGTGGGTCATCCTTGGTGCAGTGATGTTGAGAGTGTGGGTCATCCTTGGTGCAGTGATGTTGAGAGTGTGGGTCATCCTTGGTGCAGTGATGTTGAGAGTGTGGGTCATCCTTGGTGCAGTGATGTTGAGAGTGTGGGTCATCCTTGGTGCAGTGATGTTGAGAGTGTGGGTCATCCTTGGTGCAGTGATGTTGACAGTGTGGGTCATCCTTGGTGCAGTGATGTTGAGAGTGTGGGTCATCCTTGGTGCAGTGATGTTGAGAGTGTGGGTCATCCTTGGTGCAGTGATGTTGAGAGTGTGGGTCATCCTTGGTGCAGTGATGTTGACAGTGTGGGTCATCCTTGGTGCAGTGATGTTGAGAGTGTGGGTCATCCTTGGTGCAGTGATGTTAACAGTGTGGGTCATCCTTGGTGCAGTGATGTTGACAGTGTGGGTCATCCTTGGTGCAGTGATGTTGAGAGTG